GGAAAATAACCACACAGCAAGCAAGAACACACCATGTAAATAAGGTAAGACGTTTTTTATTGAGAATTTCTACGAGTATTTATCTTCCTAAATCTATAACGTGGATTCCCATACAAATCCTTTATAAATTCACGGCCGCCATGTAATCCAATACCGCTTTCGTTGAACAGTCACGTCCCGGCTCGCACACCGCTAATAATTAATCTAATCCTTTCACGTGACGTGAGCTTGGGCTGCCTGTGGATAAACGACTCGAGGGAAATCACAAGTGTCACCCAGATGTAGGTCATGATGAACGCTGTATCTGCTTGAGGATGCGTGCAGTGCTTGTCAGAAATTACCATATTCACACAAGGCCCACAGAGAATGTGGCAATGATTACTTTTTTCAATTTTCTTAATTCTGAGAATAAGGTTGCTATTCCCTTGCCTGTACTGACTATTAAAAAATAGCTTTATAGCTACAGTGGTGAAGTCCCAACAGTCTGCCCTCAGCTGTCAGGCAAGCAACATGTCTAACTAATTTTCGACGATTGTTAATTAATTTCGACACGGCATTCATGAAAAACAGGCTTAAATTTAGTTTTCTTTTCTTGGTTAGTAACATTTTTATATTATAGACACTGAATCTGTATACATAGTTTTTAGTGATACGTTGTTTTTTTTTACCTTATATTACATTGATGGAAATATTTATTTATTATAGTTTTTGATAATGCCTGATGTTTGTAACCGTGTAAATAAAAAAAGATGACCATGATGATTCTGCCAAAGGAGTAGCTGAAATTTGAGTAAGACGGGGCGCAGCAATGGAAGCGAAAAACAAGAACTGCTAAGGAGAGTTAACGAGGGCGCCGAGACCTAAACTTTACTAGAACTGGCTGAATAATCAATCAGGCTGCTCTTAAAACTGAGGGACAAGGTCTGTGGGTATGACGTGTATTCGCCTGGGCCACGCTGAAAATTTTAGGAAGTGCCATATGATTGATGCTAACTTAAGGCCTGTTTACATATAGGTGGGAACCCCAGGTGGGTGAGGTAATTTGTTTAGGTGGGGTAACCCGCCTGTCCATATAATCTCTCATTTTAACTTGAGCACGTTTACATGATAGATGAAGGTTACCTCACCTATCTGGAGTCCCCCACCTCCATGTAAACAGGGCCTTAGGCTTTTGTGCGTGTTTTCTCTGGTGAGAATAGGGTTCAAGATTCTGATAACCGGGCGACACATCCCCACCAAGAATTCCCGGGAGTGCCGCCCCCCCCCCTCCCGTGGGTTATTCTTTTCTATAAACAATGAAACAAAGAGTAAGGTGCTAACGTTTTTGTCGGGTTCCCTTATATAAATTGTAAGTACCCTCAGCTCTAGCGCGAAAGACCTGAAAAAGCGAACTGATTATTTGGTCATGCCCAAGTTCCAAAAATTCCTTGCCTTCTTTTAAAATGAGGCCACCTCCTTTTTTAACTGAGTTTCATCTGCATGAGACTAAAAATAATCCTTTTCGTATCCGAAAGGACTCCCACTAAGTTCTGCTCCTCGCAGAAACCAGTCCTAAAAGCACCGCTTAAAGAAATTGCAGCTTATAAATGTCCCCATCACCAGGGCCACCATTTGCCTTTGGTTTGTGAGCTCTCTGCCCCAATCTCTCTACCTTCTTACAATAATTTGTATAATTTAACGTTTTCCCTAGTCGGGCGTGGCACTGAAGAAAGAACAGGCTAGGGGCACCCAACGAGAATATAGTTCAAAACCAGTACTTAAACATAGCATTGTTAAACGTATTTTAGTATTTAAACGGTTGGTATAGACATATTTATCCCCTTAAAATTTTTCATCTCTGTTCGGATTTCCTAGTTGAAAGTCTAGTGATCTGAAAATTAGAGGGATCAAAACTTACCTTTTCGAAAATTTCAGCCAGAAAAAAGGCTCCCGAAAATTCTAGGTGACCTTTGTAGGGTAAAAATCCGTTAAAAATGGGCAATTGTACCATTTTTAAGATGTTAGAAAATCCTTGGAGAGGCAGGCAAGCGAGAAATTTAACAACAAATGTTCCGAAAATTCTAGATCTCAAATCGTCTTCCGAACAGATAATTTCCGAAAATTGACGTTGGGTGCCCCTGAAAGAAGAACGACTCCTCATCTAGTTCTGAATCTGGGTGTTCAACATGAGCCTAGTGTATTCGTCTTATGATTAGGCTTGAAATGGCACAGAATTGATGGTTAATTTGTTGAAACTAATGGGAGGCATTTTGCCCCCGTGATGCCTTCCAGGCAAATCAGTTAATATCAAAGACTTAGTAAGAGTTCTAGAGAAGAACACTTTATATCTCCGTTTTGATTTTGATTTTTTTACGTAATGCTTTGGTGTTTAAATATTTTCCTTGAAAGATATTACATTCAGAAGCAGGCCAATTCTTTTACAAATTTGAGGTGAAAGGTTAAACTGCGGGCTAATATATTTGCACGTGAAAGTGGTTTCATCTAAAATATGCATATGTACATGTAACCATAGAGTTTAGAGTAAAAATTAAAAGGCCAGTCGCTATGACTATTTATTTACAAAATGTTGCTTTCGATAAATATAATCTGTGTTTCCTTTGCATGAGCCCAGTCGGCAGCCAGCTTGGTTTGTGTTAAACATATTTTTACTAATTAGCTTTACAGGATGCAATCAGTTTTTTTACGATCTTAAGTTCGCAGTACTAAGATGATAGAATCGTTTAAATCGTGAACCGTTTTCTGCAAGAGCCCGCCGGATGCGTTATAGAGAGCTCCCGACCCAGTCTTACTCCACAGCTCAAATCTTACTTAAGCCTTGTTATGAGGCTTTCTCCTCCTTTCAGTTTTGTGACAACGCCCTGGTGAGGAGAGCAGTGATGTGCTGTGGTCTTATTCCACGTGTGAGACGCTTTTTAAAGCGTCTATTCTTTCCTGATGAGGAAGAACAACTTTCAGGTGAAGTTAACAGTAGTTAATTAAAAGTTGCTACCACAAAAACCGTGGATCGGAACGAGTTCTAGTCAATAAAAGCAAACTTTGCCCGCGGTCCTTCCTGCGTCCAGTACTCGCATATCGATCATGGAGTTGGCCATCAGAAGGGCGATTGAGCAGGCTTTCCCGTAATTAGTTAAAATGTGTTGCCAGCTTCGTCTTGTAGGCCGTTAAGAAATCGATATGGAGTGAAAATTCCTCGTTTCGTAGAGGTAAATTATTCCGCTATGTTCATTATCAATACGTACATGAAAACGGACTGTAATCAGCCATAAAACAGCTGCATGTAGCGACTACATGTATATGACATAGGTAGCCTCACGCGTAGCGTTCTTCTTGCAATAATACAGTTTATACACCGTTATAAAGAGCATATTAAGTGAGAAGAATTATCCATAGCTGAAATACTCATAACAAGTCGCAAGGATAAATAATACTAATTTACGCAGAAGAGAAGCGTGATGGTATTTTCCTTGCTTGACCTCTTAAAAAATTGCTACCGCCATCACTATACACCAGAAAGCTTAAAGCGCAATAAAAACCAAAAGATGTTAGGAGTTTTCACCAAAGTAAAAAATGCTTATGTCAAAGTTTTCCAAGTTCGCAAAGCATGTGAAGAGAGTTCCAATTCTCCTGATTATGCTGACAAATTCATCTAAGTTGCGCGACTTAATGAGCTTACTCTATTTGGCTTTTGATCAATGCCCGTCGTTTTACAGCATTAAAATCAGGGCCTTCCCTCTTTGAAACTGTTTATCTTCAGTATTTTGCTCCTTGCCCGACCCATAAAAAATACCAAGAAACGAGCTGCATCGGACGGGGGAATGGAAACAGGACAGAGTCTTGACTGATATTTTGTCCCTCCGAAGATCAAAATTAATGAAAAAATTGTAACTGCGCATGTTTCTCATTCTATCAAACGTATTCTTACTCTACCCAAATTTAGGTACCCAGAAATTTTATTGACAACCATTAGCTTTTCTTAATTCCTTAGATTAGAAGGGGTTCCAGACTTGATTCACGTAGACTAATTTTAGCTTGCCATCATGAATGTTTAACAAGTTCCTCAGCAGTATTCTAATTGAAAATTCTAAATCTTGTACACTTCGATGTTTATTTCCGATCTAAGAATACAAATGTTGCCTGAGCGAAGTCTAAAAGTGTTAGCTGCTAGTCTGAATAGCCACAGAAGAATAAACCATTCTACTGTATATTACGAGAGGCTCATGATGCTACCCATGAGTAGCTTAGTTTATTTTCAGTCAAACTGTAAAGGTATTTTAGAGAGATGTATATAAACCTTGTGAGCTTTGACCTTATTCGACTTACAGGCGGAAAGACTGAATAAAATAGCATGTTGCGGTGCTTTTCCTGAGACACTAAATGATCTGTCTATTCAGCGTAAAACTTTAGTCACAACGTTCTTAAGTAAAGAAAGGTATTTTCTGTTTTTCATTTTACCAGAATGTACGGGCCGAACTTGCCTTTTACTATTATGCAAGCACCACTGGATTTCATCGATCTGAAACTCGGCCCTTTCCATAGTATCTATAGTATAATGAGCAGAAACAACGGAAAAATATTTTTTATTGCTTATATGTTGTAGACAATTTGAGGAATTAATAGACACTGACTTCACTTCCTGAGAGTGAAACTACGGCGATAACCGAATCATGCCTAATCAAAGGCTTTGCATTGCCTATCGACCTCTGATTTATCTCATCAACACTGGGCGGTAAAATTTACCCTTTTGTTATTTTAAGCTTTTAAAGCCTTACGTTTGAATTTAATGCTCCTGTTTTTCCGATGTTTTAAACTCGGTTCTGTATCGTGGAGCAAGGTAAAGCTACTAGTTACGAATCAAGTTATGACGAATTTACCGAAATGTAAACAAGTTGCATTATTCATAGCGTGGTGAGTCCTGTCATGCTTTCCCCACTTAATCAGTGTTATATTAACATTCTTCGTGAACAACTCAGAATAACCGTTTCATGTATTCTCTAGGCGGCTTTTCTCGTCTAACAATGTGCCGTCAATTTTTTCTTTCCGACAGCAGTCAGTTAGTAACGTTTCCCGGCAGTACTGAATAACTACCAAAGATTGGTTTTAATATCATCGTTCGCTGCTAACTAGTAGGAAAGAAGTTATAGTGCTGCAGTTGGTTGGAATTTTTTGGTTTCGGTGCTTTGTTTAGTTAATTTTGATTACATTTTAATATCACATGAAAATAAAGTTGTTTCTCAGGGTTCCTACACAAAATCCAGTCTATAGACATTTCATGACATCTTGATTGTCTTGATTCTAATGCTTCGAAATCAATACATGCCGAATTATACTTTTAACATCTTAGCCTTCGCATTAAATTGCTGCCAAAGCTCTCCAACATCCATTAAAACTAGCTTCAAGTTGTGGGCGTGCTAGTTTTTACTTCAGCGTGTAAAATAGTATGTCAGTTGCAAGCATCTGGATAGATGATACTCAGTATAGCAAACTGATGAGCGTCTCTAACTGATTCACTCTCTGCAGTACAGCGCTCCGGTCAAGTGTGTGGTTCTGTGTTTTAGCTCATTGTATAACACTGAAATGGAAGATTTTTCTGAACCGTCCGAAAGAGCGACACTACTGAGCCGAAATCACATTAACATTAATATACTCAGCACTAGTCTTTGTGCTTAGAATACACATATTGAGTAATTTTAAAAATTACAATTTATGGTTCTTTATATTTTGACTCATTCAGTATATCGCCATGTTTATTTCAGTGTGAATTTTAACGATTAACCATCTTCGAAGTTGCTAAATAATGCTGGGAAGTCGAACGACGAAAGAATTGTCGCTTATGCTGTGCGAAATGGACGAAATCCTAAGTGCGTCCATGGCCGGGATGAAACTGGCTTTTCAGTACAGTTTTTTCCTGCGAATCCTTAGTCGAGTCATGACCGTTGCAGAACAGTGAAATTGAGATTATATTTTAATACTCATAACATTATTCACTTCTGTCAGCTACTTTCCCTTCAGAAGTGAAAGGAGAAAACTCTCTCTTATCACCAGGAGTAGAAGTTCGACGGTGAAAGCAAGCAGTGAATATTTTTAACTCGATAAATTCTAACTATGACACACGGTTGAACTGCCATAGATTGTATGAATACTGATTTAATTCAAGGATTAAACGAGGAAAAAAATTACACTTACAGATTGCTTGCTCAGTACCAAGAGACGTCAAAGGAAAAAGAGAACGGAAAACGCGAGGGAATTCCGGCTATTTGTTCTCATTTCACTGTTGTGGTACTAAGAACGAAATCTAGAGAAACGACCGTCCGAGATATCAACCTCGTGGTTTGCATGTGGTCGTGAGGCATCCCATAATGCACAAGAGCACAAGAGCAATTTTTCCGTTATAAAGAACAGCATTTTACATCCGAATGAAATTCGTTTACATTGTAATGATTCGATTTAGCGCCCGGGGCACATTATTTACTCAGACGTCAATCAAGGTAAGGCGCTTAACAGGGGGCCTGTTTATTTATTTATTTATTTATTTATTTTTTTTTGAGAAACAACGGAATGAGCGAAACAGAGCAGCTCTGATCATAACCTCTCCCCTTACCAGTTATGAAGATCTGAAGCTCAGGGCATCAATGAGGGGTGATCAATGGGCATCCTCGGTGATAGAATGTTCTTGAGTTTACTGTAAGATCGAGACGAGCCCCTGGGCACCCAAGTTCCAGAAGCGTTTGAATTGCCTGCTTCTGATTGGCCAGAAAAAAAATGTTCTGGCTAATCAGCGAAGAGAAGCAGCCGAGTGACTCTCGCAGTTTCTTACACGACGTAGATTTCCTCATCGATCGCCATAGTTGCTTAGCACGTTCAACGGGGGAGGGTTGTTGAGGAAAGTTTCAGAACAAAATGTTAACAACCCGGAAAAATTACAAGCTTTAGCACGGCTACAAGGAACGATGAATTTTTACGCAGATTTTTCGAAGGTATCGTAAATTTTTATTGCTGATACGATACGCGGTGCATGACTTTCACTTTCCACACCTTTGCTTACATACAACGCCAAGCTTACATTTTAGATGTCCGTGTTCGTTGCACGACTTCTGAAACTTTCTACAGCGTGAAAATTTCCGTTGCACGGGCCACGCAACTACTAGGTCGATTGATCGTTCGAATTGCTGGCTAGCTGCTGTGGACGCACCCTCTTGCTGTCGCTCCAATTTCCTTTACCGTACGTTTTTTTTATTACAGCCGTTGCCTTTAGTTCGAAATCTACGTCCGGTTATATGCTGAATCCTGACTGATTAAGTGAGGTCTATTTTGTAGATTGTGTGGTTTTGTTTTTAGGGATAAGCGAAGAAAAAGAAATGTTGTAGGTGAGTTTGCGAAAATGCTTGAGAAAGTGGCCGGTGTGAAAGTTTTGGTAGGTATAGAGGTTAGAAATCGTGGAAGAGTGGGATGTCTATCTACAGATTTTTGTAGTCACTAAAACTTTACAAGAAGTGAACGCTCTTAAGGAAATTCTAGGGAGAAGAAATTAAGGAATAGGGACACTTCCCAAAGATCCAATTTCAGCTCTTGATTTCAAGGACCTGAGTCTCTGGCTTACTAAACATAAGAAAACCTGGGTTAATCTTCACTGTGATTAGAATTATGTGAAGGCTGATATAGTAGAGATGAATTTTTATTATAAGTTATCTTTTTACAAATACATGTATAAAAATAATTTCACATAATATGTGATTTTCTATCAAACTATTTATTTATGATTGGCTACATGTAGATGTTTCCCCTTATTGACCCCCTCAAACACATGCACAGCGTTGTTTTAGCTCCCTTGCAATTGATGGTACAAGATTGGACATATTTTGAAAGAATAATGCTGCAAATTATGTTAACAATTTTCCTTTGGTGCATTTGTTTGATATTTCATGACTTACCTATCATAATTCTCCTCATCTGACAATAATATTCCTCATCGATAATTCAGTGCTGTGCTTTAGGAGAGTTAAACAATTGTCTTTTGAATATTTTTCACAAACCCAATTCAGTGCACTCAAACCAACTACAAACGTTACGAAATGTCAGTCGATGTGGAAGACGCGAAGACAAGTTGGGATGGCGAAGAACTGGCCGCTTTCATTTTTCTAGAACTCAAGTGATGGAATTGAACTCTCAGTGCAGCAAGTTTCTTCCAACTAGTATAGAGACTACAGCGGTTTGTCAATGTTATGATATTGTCAATTCATGACAATATACTCTGGGGTGTATGTTTCCTGAACCTTCTGAGGGAAAGATTTATGTTAGAGCTGTATGTTTCTTTTTCTTTAAGTGTTAGTCAACAGATAAATGGAATAATTCAGCTGTAATTACTAGTCGACAATAATCAGTAAAATGCCCCACAGCAAGGCAGAACTTTGCTCATGTTATGTGAATAGCCGATCAATTTCCAATTAATCATTCTTCACATTTGCCTCCGCTAAATCGAAAGAACGTGAGTGGAGCTCTCTACCAGCGGGATCCTCTGCGGAGGAGAAAGTGAGTGGAGAGAAAGTATATTCTCCGGCTTTTACATACTGATTTGAGCGTGTGAAATGATAAACCTCATGCAAGCCCACTTAATCGCTTTCTACATTACACTGAATAAACAGCAGTAAAAGCAACAAGTACTGCAAGGTATGTAAAGCAAAATAAACCCGTGTTGATCAGTTAAGAGCCTTTGAATTTCCACATCTGCCCCTCTCTTATTTATATTCTTATTTATCTCAAGCTCGTATTAATGTGCATTCAGAGCTTTAGAAATGGCGAGAACCAGTTACCTTACAATTTGAGTGAGCCACTCGGCAAACTGTCGGAGAACGGCAAAACTGGGACGAATCCCAGTACACAGCGGGCAAAACGACAGATGCACAGCTAGTTGAAAGAGTCTGTTTTCAATCTGCCGTGATAGTTCTTGCTTGTGTTTCCCTCTAGATGTATAAGTTAAATTTCATCTTGTCTGGAGACTCAAGTTGCCTAAACAATAATTAACTTTCCTCATTCTGTACATTCTTGATGGTCAGTAAAATCTGTTATGGACTGAACTGCCAATCGACATCAAAATAATTTTAATAGACTCAATAGACTAAGATTCTCTTGATAGATGAGAAAAATATGGTAATATTAAATGGAGTTTTGAGTCTTCTGATGAGATTTGTTGACGCTATACCTGGCTACACGATTTGATTATAACTACAGCGAGCATATAAGTTTACTTGGTTATTTAAACAAAATCCAGCCTAACAATCTAGATCACTCACCTTGAGTGAGCAAATAAAATTTTTCAACTTGTCTGTCCAAATTTTTTAAACTATAGGTTCTTAACTGACGTGATCTGCAAGCAGAAAGTTGAGCCGGATTAGACTGCCGGATTAAAAACGAAGGGCGATCATATGATCCAGGTTATGTGTTGTTGTTGATGCAGTTGAATGATGTCGGTTGACGAGTGCCATAATCTAACCATTGCGTCTGAAACAAGAAGTGTAACTATTAAAATCACCATTTTTCATATGGTTGTGTTTATTCTGAGCTACATGGTAGTTACGTACTTCTACAAGACAATCGGCAGTGTGGCATCAAATGTCGTGAACTCACTGGGATAAACTGCCCCTGCATACTGCATACTCAATCTTGACGAGAATCAAAATAAAAATTAAAATTCCATCCACATCAGTGACTTTAGACTTTATTGTTTACCTTTTTTCAACTTTGCAATTAAAAGAAAACAAAACCTTCTGTCGCCCAGTGTAAGGGTTTATTAGAAGTGCAGGTTTGATGCATTACCGACAACATATCTTGAAACATAAAAACTGGACGTCTACAACTAGAAAACAGATGAAATTCAGAAACGACGAAAAACATTTACCTTACAGATTGATGCCTATTAACATGAGATTTCGATGACTGGTAAAAAAGGGGGACATACGAGAAAATTGTTCTGATGCTAAATGTGCATAAAATTCATCGACACGACCGCGTGGTTCATTGAAGCATCTCACACAACTTGAATAAGGTGATGATCATTTTGCCGATGCACTGTATCGTTCTTAAACGATCCTCAGGATGGGTCATCACTAACAGCCGGAGCTTTGAGGAAGAAGCCTTAAATCCAAGGGAGAACTACTTCACTTTTTCGAAGAAGTATAGAAAACGATGAATGCGATACATGCTTCAATGCTTTCCTAAAGTGGTGCACAAGCTTGCGCCGACACGTGGTGTCTGACAGTACGCGGTGTTCATTAGAAACACGCGATCCGGTTGACAGTCACACAGCGATTTATTCGCTGTGGTCTTGCTAGTATCAACGATTTGAGAATATGATGTGTACAACCTAAATGCCTTCTTCGGTTATTTCCATTAGGTTGCCAGGAATATATTATATTATTTTATATATGTACTATAATCAGCGGAAATTTGCATTGGAACTGGACCAATTTTTAGTTACGTGAGCTTACGGCGGAAGATCACACGAAGAAATATACAGTAAAAAGTACTTCTTTATACAGGTCTTTCATTTCCTCTCAAGAATGAATTTCCTGGTTAAGTCTTGGATTTGTCAGTAGTGGATTCCGTACACACGAGAACAGGCTCACACTGAATTGACATAATTTGCATTTAAGCTCAGCCAACCAATCAAACAAATTACCGACAGTTGACATTGGGTGATTAGTAAAAAGCCCAAAACACAAAAACAAGAAAAGCAGTGCCAATACAAGACAGGCAAAAATCCTGAAATCAAACTACGTTTACACCACTCCAAACTTAAACAATTTCTTTTGTGGGATTAGACCTATTACTAAAGTGCTTTCACGCATGTTCATATTATGTTAAGTTTATCGAAAATACTTGGTGCAAGCTGTGATTGATTGTTAGTTAAGAGAAACCTTAACCGACGCCTATGAACACGCGTACTAAACCATTCAAATAGGAAACGGTTTTCTAAGTAAAAAAGCACGTATATTAAAAGTCTAAATATTTTGTAGATCGTGCTCCGTAAACAATCCATAGTATCGCTCTACCATGACCGGCAACAGCTCTGGAAATATAAATGGTTGAGGATCTACAAAAAATGATGAAAATATTGCAGTAAGAAGTAGAAGCTTAACCGCAACAAAAACACAGTTCTAACACTCTGGCTTTGTCAATTGGCCTCTGTTGCTAACTGCAATCAAATTCAGTTTAACACAATATTTCAAGTGCTAAGCATGAGATAAACAACGTTGCAAGGGCTAGTAATGAAATGATCACAACATTTCTTGAACACACTTTGATTAGTTTTTCGATTATTAAAATATACAAAGTTTGATTCCACTCTTGCATGCTATGGGCAGTATGGGTCTGCTCTGAATGTCAACGGCTTTGGTAATCTGCTTAACTGTGTGCCTCAGATGGTGAGATGAAATTGCAGTTTCAAAGATTACATCCACCAAAGTGTTCTTAAACATTTTCTACAGTTTCTCCTGATAGTTGAGGTAGAAATGAACTTTGGCACTGTGTACAAGTATTTAAAAAGGTTTTTGTGTTTTGTACGTTTGTGTTTTTACGACAGAGAAAACACAATGTAATTACTACGAAAAATTAAAACTGGCAACATTTAGAAACGATGACACGAAAACTGTACTTACAGGTTATTTGCTTCGTGTCATATATCGAATGTAACACAAGAAAATTGGTCTGATGTCGCTACCACTCGGCAAACTGAACGGCGCGACCAAGTGGCCAACAGGCATACCCACAGCGTACGTTATCTAAATGGCTTAATTCCATCAGTTGTGACAGGTTACGAGGAACACACTATTCATTTCGTGTGCTTGATTTGGGACCGACTCGGTTTTCTGAGGAAAACTTCCTGCCATGCTCTTTGAACTGCGGGGCTTTGGTTTAAAAGTAACACTGAGTCCCAGAACGTTTCATAGATCACTTGAAGATAGCTAATCGTGCAGGGTACTTGCATGATAATACATAAATCTCAATCAACTAATCAAATCACGACAGCTGTCTATGACAGCTGTCAGCGACAGGTATCTAGTAAAAATTAAAGTGATTAGGAAATAATACAAAACTGCACAACCAAGATAAAACGATCAACGATCCTTCAAGATCCAGCCATCAGTTTACACCGTTTCAAACTTCAGAAACGTCTGTAACATTTACACAGGAGAAAGTTAAGCGCTTGTAATTTTCATCAACCTGACCTAGGATGCTGTTGTGTTTCAAAAACGATTCACTTGCACTACATTGCCTTACCATCGCGGACACCAGTTTCAAAGGACGGAGAATATTTGAAATGATAAATTTCGGTGGCTTGTAAAGAAATACATGTGAAATTTAGCCGCGGAGAGCTGCCAGTTTGGAATTGAGATGACCCAGAGTTAATGATAAAAGCTGCAACAATTTGAAGTCAAGGGTAATTAACCCACACGGGATGTAAATGCTCCCTTTTTCTGGCTTTATCTGACTCAAAGGACATTACTTTTCCACAGCAGAGTGAATGATCTGATAATCTGTTTCAATGACTTTCTTGATATACTCTTAAGAAAGTAAGATTTTGTTCATTGAGATAACATGAATCATTTGCTTCAAATGACGTTTTAACTTCCATTACTACGAACTCGCGCGGAAACCGGTGGGTATGCCGGCGGACTAATATCGTTGTGTGAAATACTAGGTGCTTCATAAGCTAGTCAAGTGTACATAAGTGCGTGGTAATATATAAATATCTAAGCCATCTGTTTTGTCAGTTTTCGAATTCGCCCGACGCACAGCTCAGTATAAGCTGTCCACCTACTTAGTGTGTATTGCTGAAAATCAGGATGGGCTGTTTTCGCCATCTTTTATCTGTTTTACAAAGGATATAGTTGCGTGCAAGCGGACAGACCTTGTCGACGCCTCGTCTCTGTAGCGATACTTGTGGATTCAAAAAGGCCAAACCTCCCAGTGAACTTAAATGTACGTAGGTAATTCTGTTTTCAAATGATCATGTCAGCCATGCTTGTGCCTAAAAGACAGTTAGGAATTTAAGTGCGAAACCAAGATAATTTAGTTAAGAACGCGAAGAAAACGTGCGACCAGCACAGTGGGCACAATGCCCAATGAATGCGATAAACTTTGTCCTTATTTGGCTGGCTTTTAAGCCTAATCATCGTGGATTGAGCTGAGTCGAGAAGCGGCGATCGAACAGTCTTTCATTTTCTGGCTCTTAGGATTGTGCTGCATTCTCAGTTCATAAAAGATCGTACTTTAAAATAAGGGGCATGAAACACGTTATAACAAAGGCTTCAAACGTACCCGAGGTAAATTAACCCGCCCTGCCCGTTTACACATAGTGGGTTGCCTCCTTCAGCAACACACCGGTTTCAATGAATTATCTCCTGTGGTCTGTTCCACAAAGCTGTGCGCACAGGTAATGCACTGTTAACATCTAAGACGTTTAACACAGAATTCAAGTAAGTATATCTACATCAACATGCAATCCTAAGCACAACGTTGCCGGAAGGGCTGTTATCTGCCAGGAAAACAGAGAAAATCACGTTAAATACTTTCAAAAGAAAATGCAAGAACAAATCAACAAAGCTAAAAAAACATTAGTGTTTTCAAGGTTTTTAAGGTCGTTATGATAACATACCTTTTTTCTTCATGTGTGATAAGCATAAGAAGTGACCCAAGTTATATTTCTCTTTATGTTGATATTCATGTTGTATTCAATGACTGTACTGACTTTGAATTCTTTGATTAACTTTATTATCTAATTGTAACTAACTACTTAAAGACTATACATGCTCATTTATAGCCGTGGATGCACAGCATTGAAAATGTTAAGTTCGTTTCTCTCGGAATAGTACGCTGAGTACGTACACTTGATTTACCCAACGACGATCT